GTTCTTTTTAAATACAAAAACTTCTAAAGTTATTTGAACTAAGTTACAGAAGTTATTCTACCAACATTTATTTTTTAATTACAAAGGCACAAACTAGTGTTTAAGAACTCCCTGAGCTGCAGATCACTGAGCGCTGGCAGAGCAAGCTGGAAAGACCCTTTTATATTTCTCTGATCTCACATTTCTTCATTGCCACAAACCAGCAATCAGATGCAAGACTCAAGGCTCATTCTCTATACTCATGATAGTCCTTGTTTCATTAAAACCAATCATTAAACTTCCAGTTCTATCCAAATACTTAATCTATTGCTCTGCTCACTACATGAACTAAAAAGAATGTATTTATTTGCATTTATTTATATGTAGGGGTTTTTTCCCCCTCTTCACAGTATTTTTGTAGTTATTTTGGAACAGTTTGGTAGAGTCATGGAATATATCATCCCACAGACTCCCCTATTTCATGGCTTGTTGGCTTCTGCAGTGGGCTGTAACAGCCACAGATGGGTAACATGAAAGATTCTTTTGGGTATCTATGGAAACAAGTAGTTGAAGTCTGCCTCAAGGTCTTATCTTCAGATCCTTCCCCCGTGCTAGGAAGGGGCAGGGAATCTCCTCCACTATCCGATATGGAAAGGAGCAAAACGAGTCAGCTGGTGCTGGGAGTGAAAATGGGAACCTGAGGCAGGTGAAGAGGCAGAGGAAGGAGAAGGACGATGGAATTCAGAAATGAAACAAAAGAGAGAGCAGGATTAAGTGGAAAAGCAGATGAAGAGCAAAACCATGCCCTTCCTATAGCTTGATTCCTATGTAGCCTGTTTATAAGGCTCCACTGGAGTTCTACACTTTAACTAGTTCTATGCATTTCCAAGCTCTTTGGTCTCTACCATCTGTTTGCATGAGAGTCTCTCTGGATGTAGGTTAATGCTCAAAGAAAAAAAAAAAACAAAGAAAAAAACAAGTTAGAAAATTCAGTTTTGTTTCTTTAATCTTGCCAAGCTAATCCTGGAAATGTCATGCTAAACAATAAGTGAATAACTTTTATTTAAAAAATATAAAAATTAAAAGTAGTGATTTTGCCCTACACGTTTTTAACAAAGCTCACCGAGTTTCATGAAATTTGTGACTTCAGATAACGTTTTAACAAAAAAACCTATTTCAGTGAACAAACTTATACATCCAAGCAATTCCACCCAATTTCATCAGTATGAATTTTAGTAGATGCATGTTGTCTTTGGGTACTGCTTTATTTGCTCTGCAGTTACTTCAAGTTTAATAAAAACTTAGGCAAAATAAATAAAAAGCAAAAACTCCAGCTGGCTGTTCAAATCCACAAGGCAGCAGATACTCCAGCTGCTCAAATTTTCCTGCTGAAAGCCGTGAGAGTACGGCTACAGGAAGCCCTCCCCGATTTCCAGACCTGGCTACTTGCCTTCCTAAGCTCCTCTTCGCTTTTCATAGCTACAGACATCATGTTCGATCTGCTACGTGGGGCTATGTGACACCTCCCAATTCCTTGTGAATCTTGTATGACCAGACACAGCTGAGCAACTTACTCAGCTTTCAAAATATCGTGTGTTATGGGTATGCAGATAACAACCTGTGCACAGGCCCAAGCTACTTTCTTAGGAATAAGGAGTTCATGAGAATGTCAGTGCTAGCACATCTTAGCTGAGGACTCCAATGCCACACACAATAACATTTATTACACATGGACATCCAACGCTGCAGATGGGTAAAATAATCATTGGAGCAAAAGAATTTATCATCACGTACCTCAGTCATTCACCATTTGAAGCTTGTTACGGTAATTAAACTCCTTGAACACACTCAAATCAATACGGAAAAACAGCCACTGAATTATCATCTTAAACAAACAGTTTAAGTGCAACATTTGGCCACTCTGCAAGGGTGTACCTGCTTAAAATTAAGGTCAGAAGAGTTAAAATTCAGTCCTGGGTAGTAACAGATAATTCTGTATCACACCCTTTAATGTCAGGCTAAAAATACAAACTTCATGTGAAAGAAAGAGTTAACTGCTGATTTTCCTGGGAGACACTATATATTATTTACATTCTAGATTGGTGGAGATAGTGCTTTTCAGACAGCACCAACATTCATATACGGAGAAATGTGGCAAGACGTGTGCACATTTGTGCACGTGCAGGTTTGTTTGTGGGGAAACATTTACCCAGACAGAAAGAGAAAAACAGAAAGCATATCTGTCCCAGGGCTGGGGACAAACCCCCAAGATTCTTTGAGTCTCCCTCCTCAGATACACTCAAAAACCTGTCTGACACTGTCCTGGGCAACTGGCTGTAGGTGTCCCCACTCAAGCAGCAGGGAATGTACTATGTGACCTCTTAAGGTCCCTTCCAACCTCACCAAATCTGTGTCTCAAAGAAGTAAAAATAAAACAAACTAAACAAAAAAAAGCCCCAAACCAAACAAACCTGAAAAACCACTATAAAAAAATAAAATAAAGTAACTATATGCCATTTCCAATCTCTGGAAACTGCATCTACCCAGTCTACAATAGCGTCAACACATTTCCATTCTATATTTACATGTGCAGGTGGCAAAATTTACACAAACATACACATATGCATACACAGTACTGTAGCACTGAAAAAGAAATCTCCTCAGCAACGGGATGACATGCTTTATCAAAATCTTCCAAGAGACAAATGTGCACCAATTCCTCACTTTCAGGGATTACCTGTGTCTGTAGAGTGAATCCCTCACATCCTAGTGTCTCTAATTGCATGCACAATGCAATCCCATCAGCCTAAGCCCACAAGCTTCAGCTGCATCTGGCCTAATAGCAACTCTGCAGCCAGTCCTCGGTACTTTTCAGAGATTTCAAAAGCACTTACATGCAAGACCACAACCTGTATTTCAGCCACCTCCAGACAGCTACTCCATGTTGATAAAACCTCCTAACAACTAGAGCATGTGATCAGTGTGCATGTTTCAGTAATACCGCATCTTGCTACAGTCTGTTTGGAGACGTCCAACCTACCAGGGGTTTAAGATGTCTGGAAATGCAAGACAATTTCATCAAGGCACTAAGTCCATATATGCAAACTTCCTCAGTTCTGCTCCTGTTTGGGTTGCCATTTAGTGATTTCTATATTGAATATACTCACTTCACTGATAACTAGATTTATTCTTTTTTAATTATTAGTTTTTCTGCTTTCTCAGGTCTTGCTGGATCATTGATTGCCGTCAGCAGAAGATTCTTCCAGCCAAATTATATCTTCATCTATACCTGAGTGACTCTGCTCAATTTAGCTCAGCAATTGCAACTTAATTAAAAATTCCGTTGAGAATGTGCTGGCCAGAAAACACTCATTATGTCAGAGCTGTATTCACTCCACAGCGCTGATAGGAACATGAACTAATAAAATTTTTTTATTCATACTAAAATGAATGCCCTGGACTCCCATTAAAGAGTAAGAGAAATGGACATAAGATGAGAATCGTATCAGTGGGCAGATCTGTTCTGCAAGAATTACTCAATTCAAAGAATAACTTTCCAAATTAAAACCACATCAAATAAAGGGAATCTCTGTTACAACATCAGAATATATAATTTAAATCTACTTACCCTGCTCATAACTGGCCAGAGACAAACTGTATGTGAAATGCACTCAGTTATTCAGAGAACTGAAATATCACAAAAGTTTTCATTCCACCCTTTCCAAACAGGGCATTTCACTTATTTTGGCCTTGAATACCTTGCTTGATTAATTTCTACTGTTTATGTGACTACTCGAAGTGCAATTATATGCTTCTTTCTACAAAGTTAGCTAAAATTACTTTTTTCAGGCTATTATATCACCTTAAATATTAATTACATGGACACACTGATTTTATAGCTAAGACAATTGTGAGAGTTTTATTTCTACTCATACTGCAGTTTTCTACCAGGGACATATTTAATGGTCCCACAAGAAAAAAATAAGAAAAGAAGAAGAATACCATCAAAAAACCCTTAATTTTGCTATGCTGGTGCCGACTGGTCTGGAAGAATTTCAGAGGTCCATAGGTCAAAACCAGATAATTGGAATAAATGGAACCAAATCCCCAAAGTCTGACAAATCTGGCTGAAAACGCTGAATTCAAAGACCCTTGAATTTAGGATTTTACTTTCTGCCCATGTTCACAGTTAATATTTTTATGTTTTCATATATAACACAATCTTATGCTGAATGCTGAAACTCTTGAAAAGAGACGGATGAATACGTACTCAAAATTAATTGGATTTATCACATCCCTAATTTTCTCTTATGTACTTTCTATTTTCCTTTTGAAGTCACACCTTTTAGCTAGTTAAACCACAAACACTCACATATAACTTTGAAATAAAATAACCAACAAGATGTCATTAAAAATATTCCATTCCATTCTAATGTTCTTTATTTACAATTTGAATTTCCCTAAGACATCCTATCTCCAGCTATCAATGAAATTATTTCCAAGATTCGGTAAAATAACACGAAGCAGGATTTTAGTCAAACTGCAAAAGAAGGCAAACTGATCCAGCAAACACATTAATTTTACTAACTTCAACTATGAATCCAATTGTAATGCTCAAAATTTGCAAATCAAGCTGCTCTTTCACCAGATTGCTTGACAACTAGTAATAAATATTCCTCTCTTCCATGGCATTTTGCTTCTTTCTATTGTAATGCCCTGATGGTCATTAACCCTGTTATTATATAGTGTTTACGAAACATGAAGCCTAAAGGGGAAAGTTTCATGATGCTTCACTCTTTAATCATCTTGATTTTTAATCTAGACTCCAAAGAGAAGTTCAAAGTTTTTGATTAAAAGCGTGTTAGGGTTGATGGAAAATCTCCCTTTACTCTTTCAAGATTATGTTCCAGGCTTCAAATTACTTTTTCTCTTTATTGTCCTTGCTATTTGAAATTCGCTTCAGCTTGTCTATGCCATCATAAAGTGTCAGAAGAACCATTTTTATTCTGTTAAGCACTCACCTCAAACCACTGGCCATGAGACTGCATTTTAAGGATGACACAAGGATCTGGTTTTGAGAGGGCATCCCTGTCTGATATGCCTTTGCATGCGACTCGCAATTCCACTTTAGTCAGGCATGGGCTGTTAAAAATTCCCAGGGTATTGGCTGCTGATTCATAGATGTTGCTCATTTTCTTCATTCCTTGTTCTGAAAGAGAGAAAAGGTCTCTATTAAGAATGGTGCACACACAGTACAGCCCTCCCCTCCCTTCCAGAAGCCAACGCAAAGTTCTGCTAGAACAATAACTGTGAATGAGATCAAGAACAAGGGGGAAAAAATAAAATCAAAGGAATAACTATAGAAAAAAGAAATAATCATCTCATATGTTTATAAATAAGCCAAGTTCAAAACTGTGATCTTGACTTCCAGCTCTGTTCCTGGTTACAGAGCTGCGATTCCCCAGGCCAAAGGATAGATAAGACAAGACAGTAAATCCAAATCTTTCCTGATAACACCTTAAGAAGACTAAATTTAATTTGTTCAGCGCTCCCTCAATCTGCTTTTATTTATCAGTATTCCATCCAAAATGTATGTGCTTCTTACACAAACTTTTGCTGTAAATTCCATAGAAAGCCCCTTTTCATATCAATCTTAAATTCCAGAATACGTTTCACTATTTCCACACCTGCTGCAGAAGATTACCTCCCTCCATTGCTAGGCAAGTAGTCAAGATTGATGTTCTAAGGGGAAGCACAGGATATTTGCACTGGCAAATCTTGTTGTAATACAGTGTCTGCTCTTTTGGGTCAGGAATCATGGTTACATGAACATAGGCAGCTGGAATGGCAGGGACCTCTGGCCCTTACGTCATTATGAACACCACCACCAACCTTACAGCTCAAGCTTTTGCTCTCAACAGAAGCAACAAAAATATTTTACCACAAAGCTTAGTAAAAATCACTGTATGACTATTATTGCATCAATAAAGAAGAATATGGGAATGCTATAAATGCTAAATTGTTCAGAGCTTCACAGTCTGACCCCTGAAAATTTTTCTCCTAATACAAGGATTAGTGCCTTTACCACCTTACCCCATACCTAAGAGCTGCAAAAAATTTATCTCACACTTCTAGAGGGCAGATTTGTCCTGCTAGTTTATCAACAAAATAATTTCATGGTCTGTTTTAAATCTTTTCGCTATCTCTTCCACAACATTCTGTTCTCAATGATTTTTGAGAGCTGTTTCAACAAAAGTTAAATTTTGGAGATACAGAAATGAAAGTGAAGTTCTCTTTTCCCAACACTGTGAAACTAAAAATAAACCCACAAAACCACACCTATACACTTTTCCAGTGAATTATAGAGGCATAATTGGAAAGGTATTTCTCAATTCAGAATAAGAGGAGTTAGCAAAACAGTGTGGACCTCTAACACATACTGATAAACTTCAGGAGTGTAAGTCTGAATGATGAGGCAGATGATCTGCTCCCCTTGCAGATCAGAAAAAAGCTCATTAACAATTTACAATTCTTCCAATTCAAATCTACACAACAACTTACAGTACGACCATTTATCTCCTGTGAATACCCCAGCCTGCTGGGTTTGATATGTTTGTAAGTGAAGTGAGGGTGGATGGACTGCAATCACCCTCTTGAGCTCAGGATCTATGCACATATTTCCTTATGGTAAAACAGGCTCGAAATGTGAGTCGAGCCACAACCACAGTGCCCAACATCCTAAGATCAAAATGGTCTCCTTCAGTTCTTCCCAGTTACCTGTAAATATGGTCACCTGAACTACTGTACCTTGGATTCAGTGTTAGGAAAGAAACACGACTAAGAAAAAAGGCAAAACTAAACAAACCATAGAAAAGGTAGTGATATTAAGCTACATTATAAAGCCCAAAGAGCAATCTCAGGTTCTACATGTGCATTCTTGTGCACTAGTTTAGTTTCTCATCCATTTTTAGCTAGGAGTCCTGACACTGAAAATAAATCAGCACGACTCAAATCTCAAAGTCTTTTAGAGAGCAGGGAACAACGTTTTGTGTTGAGTCAATTCGTGACAGTGATGGCAAGATCGTAGCTCCAGCTTGAGAGCAACAGCAGGCAGAGGGAATTGAGCTCCAGCCTAATTGGAACTACTCTGATACAATCACAAATTGAAAAGCAATGACCTGCATTCAAAGAGGGACCTGAAATCTGATACCTCAACTATGTGTGACAAGAAGTGATTGGGAAAAGCCTTACCAAAAGTGATGATTCAAAACAATGTTTGGAAGACTGGTTTGCTTCTTCTTGCTACCTTTTTTTTCCCCAAAAAAAGAACAGATTAAGGTGGTGATACTGTGACAAATCCACTGAAGGCTACTATTTAGCTAAAAATGACAGAGAATATTTATAAACATGTATGTATTTATATGTATTTTGCTAGCAATCATCACAATCTGCTTTTTTCATTCTGCTCCTAATATATTCCAGATATATGATGTCAGGAGCCTAAATTTCCATGAACTAGGACTACAAAAGCACTGCTAGGAACCGAGGTGGGGAGGAAAGACTAATTATTCAGCATTTTATAATCCCATCTCCTTCAGAAGGCTGCTCAACAAGCGCATCCCACACATTTACAAGACGTTTTTACACGTTGCCCTTTCCGAATTGAAATCCATTTGAAAATTGGGTTAATTCTGTCTAATGCACATCATACATCATTAATAAAATGTCATCCTTTGTGCAAAAATAGGTTGGTGATTTAATCAAACTGGATGATTTCAACACTGAAGAGAAGAGGAAAAAGTAGCAGAGTGAGGGGGAGAGGTGTATTTTTCTTCCTCCTACAATAATTATATACTGGTTTTTAGAACTGCAGGTAAGTATAAAATTATATTTCTTTTTATCACTACAACTATTCCTTCAGCTTTCTAAATTTATCAATGGAAAAGATCAAGCCACATCTTCTGTCTCATTATATTCTTCTTTTAATATAATCACCAGCTTGGGCTGTTGTGCTGATGTCACGTTACCAGGGAGCTGGGGGCCTGGAAAATAGATTTTGAGCCTACTGAAAATGGCTAAGAAAAGGTATTATTTTATACAAACAGAGAGAAGTTACCCTGCGTAAGAAGCTATTTGTCAATTAACTACATTATTGATGGAGAAAAAAATGCTAATTTTTCTTTGCTACAAGCTTTTCCTTTTTCAGTTCATTAGAACCTTATTACTCCTTCAACATCCACATGATTTCAATATTCACTGAAAAAGAGCTGTATCCGTGAGAGGAAAGCAATAGCGTATGTAGAAAAGTAAGTGAACTGGTCACACACTACTCAAGTTTTCAGTTCATTTCTGCATACATTCTCTCTCATTTCCTCTGGAAAGGAGGAAAACAGGGTATCATACGCTTGCCACACAAAATTACTACACAGTGCTAGACTGGATGGAAGGGGGGAGCAAAACCAGGTCTTCTGGTTTCGCCTCCCCATAGTGAAACAATGAGGAAGAAGGCAGTACCAACTGGAAAAAAATCTTAAAAGTGCGCTGTGCTGAAATCAAAACATGTACCAGGTTACCCCAAAAAACAAACAAACAAAAAGAAACAAAGAGTGTCTGGAATACGGAAAAAAAAAAAAAAAAAAAAAAAAAAAAAAAAAAAAAAAAAAAAAAAAAAAAAAAAAAAAAAAAAAAAAAAAAAAAAAAAAGGAAGACCTTGAAGACAGATCTCTATCTTCACCCTCCCCAAAATATTCTATATCTGGCATATTTAGAACTCACTTACTAGAAATTAATGTGCTCTTTTGACATTTTTAAAGAGATTCATGGTTTATTGATGTGTATAAATTCCTGATGAGGCTGGAAATAAAGAACATAAAGCCAAATTCTTCCCCATGGTGCCCAGTGACAGGACAAGAAGCAATCGGCACAAACTGAAATACAGGAAATTCTGATTAAGGGAAAGGAAATTTTTTACTGTAAGGCTGGTTGAACACCAACAAGCTTCTCAGAGAGCTTGTGCAGTGTCCATACTTAGAGATACCCAAAACTGGAGACAATATCCACAACTTGTCTAGACACGGCCCTGAGTAACTTCCTTTAAGCAGGGGCTTAGAATAGATGATCTGCAAAGATCCTTTTCAGCCTCTACTACTCTTGTGATTAAGAAGAAAACAATCAAATTATACTCTCTCAGTGTATAGATTGTGATATGTTGTTGAGCACTATTCAATGATTTGAATCCCTTGGCTCCAAAACCGTGCAGAAAATCACAAGACAGAGATGAGCTCAACATTTCCTGTACAAAGTCTACAAAAGGCTCCCATATGTAGGTATCTCATTAAAAGCAATAGCACAAAAGTTCAGAAGATTGTACCTGCCTATATAATTGGATTACACTGAAAATCAGTATTACACATTTGACAGATGCATCTTTCTCCATTCAGGGGGACTGAATGGCTTAAAATGTTCAGTCAAGTAGTCTAGTGACTACAAAAGTAAGCATCTTCATGATGTGAAGTGCAAACAGTACATACCTCTCTCCAAGATCTAAAAGACTTGAATTCAGCTTACACAATCAGATCCACCTTGTTACAAAATACTGATCCACACAGGGCTTTAGAGAACCTCACAGCAAACTCATAACCAGGCTCCTTAGATTGACCATGAAATAAATCTAAGATGTTATCTGCATTCAGATTTCAAGATTTCTCCTCTGCCTACCTTGTCAATTTTACTCTCCTACACACACAGTATCCAAAAACCTTTTCTGCAAGATGCCTGGGTGAAGAATGAAGAGGTTGCTTCTCTACAGCACCTTGCTAAGAGCCAGGGAAACATGCACACTCAGTCTCAACTTCAGTTCAAGTAATAAATGAGCAGCAGATGAGAAAGATGCTGAGATTAAAAGCAGTACCAGTGTGCTCAGCATTTAGAAAAAGGTCTCGTTATTTAGAAACCAGAACTCCAGGCCAAAGCACAAGCAGATGAATTCGGGGTTAGCAGGTTTCCCATCACAGTTATATTGAGAGCTGCGTCTGAATCATTTGTTTTACTGGCACCCTGGTCATGAAATGAAAATGAGCCGATAGCATCTGCCTGCTTCTGCAAAAGTAAACAGCAAGAGTCTGCTCCTGGAAAGGTAAATTATGTTCATAGCAGGTGCATGCAGTGGGAAAATACTAGTGTAGGATTACATGAAATAAGAGCTGTGAA